AGTCTAGCACAGCCTGAACTTTTGGCAATGTGAGGCCCAGTCTGCGCTATGGATAATCACATCGTCCAAGTACACTGCAGCATACTTCTGATGGGGACGAAGAATCTGATCCATTTTTCGCTGAAAGGTGGCCGGTGCATTCTGTAACCCGAACGGCATTCTTTTATACTGGAATGACCCTTCTGGGGTTACAAATGCAGTCTTCTCCTTTGCCGACTTAGCTAGGGGAATTTGCCAATAACCTTTCGTCAAGTCTAGTGTTGTCATGTACCGGGCTGCTCCCAGTCGGTCGATTAGTTCATCTATCCTTGGCATGGGGTAGGTGTCAAATTTTGTAACTTTATTCAACTGTCGAAAGTCGTTACAAAATCGCCAGCTCCCATCTGGTTTGGGCACCAACACTATGGGGCTGGACCAGTCACTTTGGGACTCCTCTATCACCCCCAAATCTAGCATTCTCTGTACTTCCCCACGTATTGCCTCCCGTCGAGCCTCTGGGATTCTATAGGGTTTCAGTTTTACTCTTTCACCCGGTGGGGTGATAATGTCATGCTCCCCCCCCGAGGTTTGTCCCGGCAGCTCAGAAAAAACCTCTGTGTTGCGGAGCACAAACTCTTTAGCCTCCTGTTTTTGAATTGTAGACAAGGTGACTGCTATTCCAACCTCCGGAACCAAGCAGTTAGATGGCGCTGGTGACAAACCCTCAGCAACTAGGGATTCCCTGTCCCTCCAGGCCTTTAGCAGATTGATGTGGTAGATCTGCTCCGGTTTCCGCCTTCCTGGTTGTCTGACCCTGTAATTCACCTCACTCACTTTCTCAAGCACCTCGTATGGGCCATGCCATTTGGCCAGGAATTTGCTGTCAACCGTAGGGATTAGCACTAGCACTCTATCTCCTTCAGCAAACGACCTGGTCCGGGCCCCCCGATTGTACACCCTCTGCTGCGCTAACTGTGCTTGGGACAAATGTTCCTTTACGATAGGCATGACCTGGGCAATTCTATCTTGCATTTGGGCGACGTGCTCAATCACACTCCGGTGGGGAGAACTCTCACTTTCCCAAGTTTCCTTGGCGATATCTAACAGCCCCCTTGGGTGTCTCCCATAGAGCAACTCAAATGGTGAAAACCCTGTGGAGGACTGGGGTACCTCCCGGATGGCAAACATCAAATAGGGTACTAAATAATCCCAACCCTTTCCATCCTTATCTACCACCTTCCTTAGCATTTGTTTCAGGGTTTTGTTGAACCTTTCCACCAACCCGTCAGTTTGGGGATGATACACAGAGGTGCGCAACTGTTTTACCTTGAACAGTTTGCAGAGCTCTTTCATCACCCGGGACATAAAGGGGGTTCCCTGGTCCGTCAGCAGTTCCTTTGAAATACCCACTCGGCTGAAAACGAGGAATAGCTCCTTAGCTATTGTCTTGGCAGAGGTATTTCGGAGTGGAATTGCTTCTGGATAGCGGGTGGCATAGTCGAGTATGACCAACAGGTACTGATGCCCCTAGCGGATTTCACCAGCGGACCTACCAAATCCATGGCAATCCTTTCAAAGGGGACCTCAATGATGGGAAGAGGTACCAGTGGACTACGGAAATGGGGCATAGGGGCCGACTTCTGACACACAGGGCAAGAGGAACAGTAATTTTCCACCTCCTTAATGACCCCAGGCCAATAGAACCGCTGCAGTACTCTTTCCCGTGTTTTCTCCGCCCCCAAATGACCCCCAAGGATGTGTCCATGGGCCAACTCCAACACCAACTTCCTGTAAGGTCTGGGCACCACCAGTTGCTCAATGGTTTCTTCTGCCCCTTGAGCAACTCGATAGAGTAGGTCCCTTTCCACAAGGAAGTATGGATAAGCAGCAGTTTTCTCAGGACTCACTAGTTGGCCATCTACTTTTACTACATTTTCCCGGCTTTTATCAGCGTGGGGTCTTTCAGCTGTTCGGTGGCAAAATTTTCCCTATGCACCTCTAAGTCCGAGAAATCCAAAACCGGCAGATTTTCATCTGAGGAGGTGGGCTCCTCCCCAGTTCCTTGGGTCTCCCCAGCTAGTACCGACAAGGGGAACTTGGGAGAGACCTCACCACACTCAGACGCTTTCTGGGATTCACCTTCCTGGTCTGCAGGGGAGACAGTGGGGGGGTCAGAACAATCCCAGAGTTCCCAGAATTTTGGAAAATCCCTCCCCACAATGGCATCATGTGGTAATGAGGTACCAATCCTACCTGATGAGACAGGTTACCTTTGGGGGTCTCAAAAAAACACAGTAGCCACGGGATACTCCCTAGTGTCCCCATGCACACAAATCACTGCCACCTTTTTTATGCCCAGAGACCTTTGTAGTGACCATCTCCTCTCTTATCAAGGTTACCAAGCTACCTGAATCCAGCAACCCCACAATATTATTTCCATTAACAGTCATTTTGCACAAATGTTTCTCAGTGCCCGGGCTGGCCGTGCATACCACTGTCGCAAACAGCGACTGACGTCTATTGCTCAGAAAGTCACACTGCATAGGCTCATCCACCACTGGGCAATTAGCTGCAATATGTCCCTCTTGCCGGCAGCGGTAACAAATAATTTTTTTCACCGCTTCTTGCGGCCTTGGCCTTCCTGGCCGCTCTTGCCAGACATTGGGTAATACTCCCACCCTCTCACTCTCTCCACCCTCACCCCTTGTAGTCATCTTACCCGCCGCTGGGGATGGTCTGGTCTTGGGGTGGAAAGTCCGTGAGTCTCTGGAAGAGGAGGTCAGGTTCTCAGTAGCCAAGTATCTCTCCACTAGATCCACCAGCTTGTCTGCAGTTTCTGGGTCTCCATGGCTGACCCACTTTTGAATAGTATTAGGCAGAGACCTTAGGAAACCGATCCATGACGACACGTTCCACAATTTTTGGGGCGGTCAAAGTCTCTCTGGCTGCAGCCACTTCCTGCTCAGGTGAATGAGATCATACATCTGTGACCTGGGAGGTTTCCCAAGCCGAAAAGTCCAATTATGTACCCGCTGAGCACGGACAGCGAGGGTAACACCCAACCGGGCCAAAAATTTCCACTTTTAGCACATCATAGTTTTTGGCTTGGTCCGGCTCCAGGTCATAGTAAGCTTTTTGCGATTCTCCAGTTAATAATGGGCCATCAATCCAGCCCACTGTTCTTTAGGCCACTTTTCCCTTTCAGCAGTCCTTTCAAAGGTGGTTAGAAACACCTCCGGATCATCCTCTCCAGTCATTTTTGGCAATAAACGGCCCACAGAAAATGATGGTGTTTTACCAGAATCATCACCAGCCTCAGTCTGCTGCCTCTGCTGGAGCTGCTTCAAAAAGCCTCAATTTGTTTCTGGTGTTTCTGGTCCTGTTGCACCAGCAATTCCCTATGGCGGACCTCTGCTTGTTCCAAGGCCTTCTGCTGGGCTGCAATGCTCTGCTGGAAACTTGCATTTGCCTGCTGTTGATTGGCATTTGCCTGTTGTTGATTGGCATTTGCCAGAGCCAACTGTCTGATTATCTCCTCCATGCTGGCCTTTAGTTACCACAACTGCCTGCATCCTCCACCATATGTAACAAGGTTAGCTCGGCAGCGGGTGAGTGTGTGACCCCCTGGATGGGTGCACAACACAAAAAGATAGGCACAGCACAACAATAGTGGAGGTGAAAACAAACAGTGCAATTTATTTACAATATTTACAGAAAAAATGATAAACAAAAAGAGACATCAAAATAAATCCTGGCCAACTTGGCTACTTACTGCAACAACAGCTTTTTCCCTAGCTACCCACTAGGTACAGCCTGCTGCTATACCTAGTTGCTAGTACTGGGAGGTTAGCCACACAGGCTTTGGTCTCTCTGCACACAGATAACAGGTCAGCTCCCCAGACAGTTCAGGCACCGATCTGGTTCCAGGGTGGAGCAACTCCCTAAGCACTCTGGGAAGCTTTATACAAGTGTTAATGAGCCCACTACCTTCAGCTGGGCTCATTATCTCAATGCTGAAGGACTCAGCACTTCCTCTAGTGGTACAAATCCCCATAAACCCTGAATCTCGGACAAATATATCGTCCATCCAGGGACGCAACCAGGTTATTTCACCTGCCTACTGTCACAATATATATATATATATATATATATATATATATATATATATATATATATATATATATATATAATTTTTTCTTCTCCTCCTCCTCCTCCTCAATAGTGCTATGACTGTTATATGATGTTATTAATTATATATATTTTGTCCCAGTTTTGTATAATCGAGATCCAAGGCCCGAGGTAGTTTTTTTTTCCATGAAATGTGTCGGCCATTTAAGCCTGGGATCTTTTGAACAGTTGTATGGTTTATATTCCAAGCGACATTATTCATTTTATTGGTTTTTTTATGATGTGTATTTGTGATATTAATATATGTGAATAATAAAATATTGCTTTAATGTACTGATATCTGTCCTTCGGGAGGTACATTTACAGTCCCAACCCGAAGTGCTGTTGTCTCGCATAATTATTGAGGGGTGGTACCAGGGGCGGACTGACAACTCATGGGGCCCCCGGCAATAGGGGATCATGGGGCCCCTGTGTCCTTGCCCAAACTCAAAAAAGCCTATGAAAAAGGTACCAGGGGCATCTCATGGGGCCCCCTACTGACCCCGGCCTTTCGGGCAGTGCCCGAGTTTCCAAATGGTCAGTCCGCCCCTGGGTGGTACCTCCAGAGGGAATATTACCCTATACCCATCCTCCACATATGCTTTTTTTGATTTCATGATTGGATGATGAGAATCAGCAGAATTCTACCACATTTACAAAGCTCTTCTTAAAATGAGCACAACTGCACTTGCAAAGTGCACATTCTATTTGCCTTTAGTAAATCCACCCCCAACGTGTATCTAGGTTTATCTGAAATTACTCTGATTTATAACGATACAGGGAATATCTGCCTAGTTGCCCATTACCATAATATATATTTTTGATGTAATATCTTCTCTGTTTTCGGATTGCAGGAAAATGTAAAAATTCTAGAAAAGAGGGCGGTGGCTTATATAAATGCTGATTCCTCTGTAGAAGGTAAGACTATATTTGCCTAAATCAGTCCTTGGAAATATTATGTATTTTTTTTTTTACTAGAGGATATGCATTCTTGTACTAAAAATTAGAGAGATTTATAATGTCCTGTCTCTACATGTCAACTTATATCAAAATATAAAGGATATCAGAATATCAAACTGTGTATGGGCACCTATTGCCAGAGAAGGTGATATGGATTAAAGGAGATGGGTGGAGAGGGAACCTTGTGGTTATTTTTTAGGGGTTTTTTCAAGGGTCTCCAAACTACAGTCCATGGGCCAAATCCAGACAGCTGCTAGATTTTATCTGGCCCTCTGATGTAAGAAGGGACTCTGATCGATGTAGAAGGCTGTAAGGGGGGGGGCTCTAATATAAGAGGGACATTAATAGGTATACTGATGTAAGGGGAGAATCCAATATAAGGAGGCTGTGATGGGGACTTTGATGTAAGGGGGCCCTGACAAGGACTCTGATGTAAAAGGGTACTTTTAAGGAGACTCTGATGTAAGGGGGCCCTGAAGAGGGACTCTGACGTAACTGGGACATTTACTGGGGCTCTAATGCAATGGGGCTCTGATGGGAACTCTGACATAAGGAGAGACTCTAATGTTAAGGAGACTCCAATGTAAGAGGGACTTTATGGGGACTCTGATGTAAAGGGGCCCTGACAAGGACTCTGATGTAAGGGGGCCTTTTAAGGAGACTCTGATACAAGGGGGCCCTGAAGGAGACTCTGACGTAACTGGAAAATTTATGGGGACTCTAATGTAAGGGGGCTCTGATGGGGATGTAAGGGTGACTTTTATGATGACTCCGATGTAACACGGACTTTTATGGGGTCTCTGATGTAAGGGGGGGAACTCTAATGTTAAGGAGACTAAGATGTAGGAGGAGGGACTTTACGGGGACTCTGATGTAAGAGGGCCCTGGCAAGGACTCTGATGTAAGGGGGACTTTTAAGGAGACTCTGATGTAAAGGGGCCCTGAAGGGGACTCTGATGTAAGGGGGACATTTATGGGGACTCTGATGTAAGAAGGGAATCTGATGTAAAAGGGGCTCCAATGAAAGGGAGCATTTATTGGGGACTTTGATGTAAGGGGGGACCCTGATGCAAAGCGGACTCTGATGTAAGGAGCCTCTAATGGGGACTCTGATGTAAGGGGGGCTTTTATGGGAACTCTGATGTAAGAAGGTTATCTGATGTAAGAAAGGCTCCAATGAAAGGGGGAATTTATTGGGGACTTTGATGTAAGGGGGGGGACCATGATGCAAAGCGGACTCTGATGTAAGGAGCCTCTGATGTAAGGGGGGACTTTTATGGGAACTCTGATGTAAGAAGGGAATCTGATGTAAGAGAGGCTACAGTGAAGGAGGGCATTTATTGGGGACTCTGATGTAAGAGGGGATCCTTATGTAGGGGATTCTAGTGGCTCAAGTTTATTTAAAATGTCTTTGCTGTTTGTTTACTGAAGGTTTTTTATGTTGTTCTAAATCCTATCATGCTGATTACAATAAAACTTCTGTATTCATTCAAATGTGATTGGTACATTTATAAAACTAATAATTTTTGGCCTGTGAATATTTGTAAAATATCTGATGTGGCCCTCATACTGGAAAGTTTTGAGCCCCCTGTTATAAATTGTAGTTTTAGGATGTTTTGATAGATTTTATACCCAAGCATAGCAACTAATCCCTCCCTGTGTCAACTTTCAAATCTCCCTCTTTGCATGTAGCTGCTGCAGGGAGGTTATGTAAGAGTTGTGTCACTTCCTGTGCTGTTCTGAGACACTGAATAATAATAATATGCATTGATACTTAACCACTTCAACACTGGGCCAATTCTGATACTTCTCACATACTGTATATGAAAAAATCTACATTTTTTTTTTGCTACAAAATTACTTAGGACCCTCAGACATTATATATTTTTTTAAGTAGAGGTCCTAGAGAATAAAATGTTGGGTGTTGCAATTTTTTTATGTCACAGAGTATTTTTGCAGCGGTTTTTCAAACACAATTAAAAAAATACACTTTAGTGAATTGTAATACATAAAAACATAATATAATACTAAAATTGTATGCTAAAATATAAAAGATGAGGTTACACTGAGAAAATGGATATCTAACATGTCACGCTTTAAAATTGCGCATGAAATGGCGCCAAACTACAGTACTTAAAAATCTCCATAGGAAACACTTTACAGGTTACCAATTTAGAGTTCTGCAGGAGGTCTGGTGCTAGAATTACTGCTCTCGCTATAATGTTTGCGGCAATACCTCACGTGTGGTGCAGACACCGTTTACATATGCATGCGTGACCTACTTATGCATTTGACTTTGTGTGGGTGGGGGAGGCCCTTTAAATCTTTTTTTTAATTTATTATTTTAATTTTTTTTTATTGTTTTTTATTTTTACACTCTCTTTTATCCTAGTTACATAGTTAGTCTGGTTGATAAAAGACACAAGTCCAACTAGTGTAACTAATAAAAAAAAGAAAAAAAAATAATAATAATTTAACTGCTTGCCTGAGGATTTACCCCCCTTCATGACCAGGCCATTTTTTTGTGTTACGGCGCTGCTTTACTTTATCTGATAATTGTGCAGTTATGCAACGCTGCACCCAAATGAAATTTGACGTCCTTTTTTTCCCACAAATTGAGCTTTCTTTCGCTGGTGTTTGACCCCCTGTGCTGTTTTTTTATTTTTTGCGCTATAAGCAAAAAAAAGACCGACAATTTTGAGAAAAAAAATTATATTTTGGACTTTTTGCTATTAAACATGTCCAATAAAAAAATGTAAAAAATCTAATTTCGTCATAAATTTAGACCAAAATGTATTTTGCTACATGTCTTTCTTATAAAAAAAATCCCAATACGTGTAAATGAATTGGTTTATTTGAAAGTTATAGCATTTACAAATGGTATAGATAATGGGATTTTTTTTTTCTACTAGTAATGGCGACGATCAGCGACTTTTAGCGGGACTGCAGGACTGCGGCGGACATTCTGACACTAACTTGGTGTCACTGACACCTCAGTGACGCCAATACAGTGATCGGTGCTAAAAAAAAAAAGCACTGACAAGGTACTAATGGCACTGGGCAGGAAGGGGTTAATGTGAGCGGCGATCAAAGGGTTGTGTGCTGGGAGTGTTTTTACTAGGGGGCAGGGGTGTGTTCTTCACTGTAAGCACACTGATCAGGATGGCTGTACTGTGCACAGCCATCTGAAGCAGTGTGCTCAAGCTGACAGGGAGGAAGATTGTAAACAAAACAATCTTCCTCCCCATCGGAGATGCTCGATAATCACCGGGGCCGCCGGCGGGTAATTACCGTCCGGGACCCAGTGATTGACATACGTGGCCACGAATGGCGGCGCAGGTAGGGCGCACCCTCTACCCAGAAATGCAAAATCACGTATAAATACATGATTCTGTGCACAGATGCCACCCTGTAGCAGTATATCTGCTGTAGGGGCGGTCCTTAAGTGGTTAAACCTATACCCACAGTTGATCCTGGAAAGCAAAAAAATAGCAAAGCATGATCCAATTTGCTCCTGCAGGAGAAAAAAAATCCTTCCTGACCCCCCGAGAGGCAATCGGATATTCCCTGGATCAACTTTACCTATACATGTTAGTATCCAGTTATATTCTGTGTATCTAGGAAAGAATCCAGGACTTTTTTTAAAGCAATCCACTGAGCTGGCCAGAACCAACTCTTGAGGGAGTCTATTCCACATTTTCACCCTACCTGCGCCGCCATTTGTGGCCACGTATGTCAATCACTGGGTCCCGAACGGTAATTACCCGCCGGAGCCTGGTGATTATCGAGCATCTCCGATGGGGAGGAAGATTGTTTTGTTTACAAACTTCCTCCCTGTCAGCTTGAGCACACTGCTTCAAATGGCTGTGCACAGTACAGCCATCCTGATCAGTGTTCTTACAGTGAAGAACACACCCCTAGTAAAACACTCCCAGCACACAGTTAACCCTTTGATCGCCCTTCACATTAACCCCTTCCCTGCTCAGTGCCATTAGTACCTTGTCAGTGCTTTTTTTTAGCACCGATCACTGTATTTGGCGTCACTGAGGTGTCAGTGACACCAAGTTAGTGTCAGAATGTCCGCCGCAGTCCCATTAAAAGTCGGTGATCATCGCCATTACTAGTAGAAAAAAAAATCCCATTATCTATACCATTTGTAAATGCTATAACTTTCAAATAAACCAATTCATTTACACGTATTGGGACTCCGACTTTTCGGCACCAGTTTGAAAAAAGTTTCCTGCATTATTCTTTGAGGTTTCAACTACGACTCGCATAAATATCTATGCATGAAATTGCACAGCTTTCAGCCAATTCGCACCTGAACTGCACTGACCTGTGGCTTTGAAATCGTGTGATTTCAGACTCTAATTCAGTGTGAACCAGGGCTTAAAGCGATCCTAATCAGTGTGCCATATCTGCCTAGGATTGTCTAGAGCAAAGACAATCACCGGAATCCTACAAAGTAGACAAGGAAGAAGCCTTCGGGGAGTCGAGGTATAGCTCAAGATGTGCTGATCTCAGGTAATGACTAGAGCAGTGTTTCTCAACTAGGGTTCCTCCTGAGGTTGCTGGGGGTTCCTTGAGCTTTGAGCAATGGTGGATTGATGTCCCACCTTCACTGATCACCAATGCAAGGGGGGTAATTTTCCACTACTTCTAAACTGATCACTAATGTTGGAGTGGACACTAAGTACACCACATTACTTTGGTGATTCCTCTGGTGACCAAGTCCTCTGCACCAGTAATGTGCCTAGAAATCCCCCTCTTCCCACCCCCACCTCCCCAGCCAGACAGACTGGCATCTGTTTCCAGGATTCAACAAGGCAAAGACAGCTGGTCCTGGGTCTCAGTTTGTCCAGAGAAAACACAAGAATTGTCCTACAACGGCACAGAATGTTGTTGTGTTGCAGAGGGTTAGATTGAAGAAACTTGAGAACTGAGAGTCTGAAATGTCTCCTGGGGAAGGAACACTCTGGCCTAGGAATTGTCCATGACTAGCCCCAGATACTCCAAGCCATGAGTCAGAGCCAGCCATGATTTCTAAAAGTTCAGGATCCACTTGAACCTCTGCAACATCTGTACAGTTAGTGCTGGAGCAGAAGGAAGTAGGAGATGGAGACTGCCAGAGAGGGATGTAGGGGAGAGCTTCAGCTTTGAGTTGAAAGTGAGTTCTACTGAAAGCTAGCCTATTCCCAGTGTAATTCACCAAATATAGTCAATGATGTCATCAAACATCCCCGGCAGTTTGTTTACAACCTGAATCCAGCTGGGGATCTATCAGTTTGTGGAAGTAATGCAGCAGGGTAAGATTACTGGGCACTGGGTGTTTGCTGTGGTGGTACAGTATCTTTTGACAGCGGGTCATCATGATTGACATCACTGATCAACGTGATTAGTGTTTTATTTACACGGTTTGGGGAGGGGGGAATGTTAGTTATTAAAGAACTTTGCCTAATATGCCTCTTTCTGTGAATGAGTTAGAAGGAAGTGTACCCCATATTCATTCCTATAGGGAAAAGGGTAAGATATCTGGGGGCCCCAGAATTTGCTGCCCCCACTTACAAGTTAGCCTCCCCATATTGAAGGCATGTGGCCTCGTATGGTTCAGGAGGGACTGCATGCACTCACTGCCCTTCCTTTCCTTGACACCCACACTGGATGCCTTGATAAGGATCTGGTATAAATCTCAAGGGGGACTGCAAACCGTGTTTGTTTTTGTTTGTTTTTTTTAAGGGACAATATATAGGTTATCTCTTTCCAGGCATGTATAGTTTTGCAGTGCTGCCACAGATTTATCGCTCTATATATATATGGTGGAGCATCAGTGATCAGGTTGGTTTTTTTTTTAATCCATCTGATTGTCTTCTTCTATAGACATTAGCCTGCTGGCAGTGTTTTGAGCACAATGTAGAGAGATGAGATCATTACCTGATCCTTTTAAAAAATGTCTGATTTCTAACCTGGAGTAAATACAGCCGGACAATGAATATTTTCAAAAGGTCAACAGTAACAGCCTATGTATCTCTTCGTAGAGGTTTCCTTTAAATGTGATTACATCTTCCGTTTCAGGTAACTATACCTTGAGGGTGGATTGCACACCTTTACTTTACCAGCTAGCATATCGACTGACAAAAAGAGGTAATTATAATCATGGTTTCTGTTGATGCCCTAAAAGTGAATGAGTGCAAAATATGTGAATATATGATTTCAAATGTTAACCATACATAGGATTTAATTGATTTACAAGAGTCATAGTGGGCCCAAAGTGTCAATATTTTGTGTGGCCACCATTATTTTCCAGCACTGCCTTAACCCTCTTGGGCATGGAGTTCACCAGAGCTTCACAGGTTGCCACTGGAGTCCTCTTTCACTCCTCCATGACGACATCACAGAGCTGGTGGATGTTAGAGACCTTGTGCTCCTCCACCTTCCGTTTGAGGATGCCCCACAGATGCTCAATAGGGTTTAGATCTGGAGACATGCTTGGCCAGTCCATCACCTTAACCCACAGTTTCTTAGCAAGGCAGTGGTCGTTTTGGAGGTGTGTTTGGGGTCATTATCATGTTGGAATACTGCCCTGCGGCCCAGTCTCTGAAGGCAGGGGATCATGCTCTGCTATACATACAATGTCTGTGTTCAATTTACCAACATGAATTTATCTAAAATACAAAAAGTCCAGTGTGTGTGTGTGTGTGTGTGTGTGTGTGTGTGTGTGTGTGTATGGGTGTCTCCACCACTATGCTATTGCAAGTCAAGCAGGCAGTCCATGAGATCCAAATGTTATTCTGATGTAAAATTCAGGATATTCCACGTGCACCAATGTGATCTCTTTCAGTGTGAACCACCACCATTCACTCTCCGCACTCACCTTAATTTTGGACCTTTATATAGGTTCCAATTCCCTTAAGGGGGCAATCCAGGTCTCTTCAAAGCTCAAATTCATTGCTCTTAATAGGTATCTCCAGGACTCTCTGTATATACCAGGTAGGTCCAGCAAGCTCTCCACCAACACAGTTACTCAAAAGGAATAGAAACCACAAATAGTGTTTTAAAAACCCTTAAATAGTTATTAAAAACTTCATAAAATGCACGCACAATGTTAGTGCACTAGTCCACAGTAGTGCACCACATTAAAAGCGAATGTATAACATATACAGGAACAGGCCCCTTTTAAGGAAAATATCACATCATCACCATACTGCAGTGTCCAGGTCACTCCTTCCTGGTGGCATGATGATGTCACTAAGCCACACCATGACATGTTTAGTCACTTCCTGTGACTTCAAAGAAGATAGATTTTTCTTTGGATCTGGGAACACATTTTGTGCATTGCAGCAACGTTTTATTTATTAGAATTGTATTAGAATATTGATTAGAACACTTGTACAGTTGATGGATATATTGTGGATTGCACAGAGATTTTTCACTTTTACATAATGATAATATATTATAATAATTATCAAAATACCAAAACTATGTGCAGGTCTTCATTTTATGCATGGAATGTGTTTGAATAGCAAGTCACTTGTCTGTTCTCCTTTTAGATCTCCAGCCCTGATGAGGGTTTTGAAGGAAAATCTCTTTATGAAAGTTGGCATCTTAAAGACAACTGGACAGAGTACAAGGATTCTCCAAGGTAAAAAACCTAAAGATCTGACCCTAAAATATATTCCACATTTTGTATTTGGATTAGGTAGTCCAGGGCTGTCCAACTGGAGACCACCTTTTGAGGCCCTTGTTGCATGGTTGCCAATAGTCCTGGATCCTGTAGGACAGAGTCCCAGGGCGGACTGACCATTTGGAAACTCTGGCACTGCCCGAGGGCCTGGGGTCAGTAGGGGGCCCCATGAGATGCCCTGGTACCCTTTTCATAGGCTTTTTTGAGTTTGGGCAAGGACACAGGGGCCCCATGATCCCCTATTGCCCAGGGGCCCCATGAGTTGTCAGTCCGCCCCTGGGACAGACCCAGGTTTTCAGACACTGACCCACACTGTCTTCATCCCATTAGCTGCCTGACAGGATCCAGGACACAATGCGGACTGGTAGTTGGGGGTGCTAAGTCCTGAAAAACCTGCCCAGCAGGGGTTGAATACTTCTAGCCAGACATCATAAGGGAAGGGGAGAGCAGACAGGAGAGTGTGTTCAATGGGTAAGTAACTAATAAACAGAAAATGGAGGGGGTTTATTTTTGCTTCCACAGAACACCATGATGAGGATAGTTTTTTATATATATTGCTGGCACTGGTACAGACATCAGTGAAGGAAGTGGTTATTATTGCTGTAAATGCTCAAAATTTTACAATATTCTTTTACTTTCATTGTCACCAGGACAAATAAAAGGGGATCCTAGCTGGGATACAGGCCGCAAAAAATAAAAAAAAATAGAAAAACAGGAATAGGCCTACCCTGAAATAAAAAATATTACAATAGTGAACTTCTAATTAAAAGGAAGGCTGTGGTACCTTTCAAAATATATTTGTAGAAAAAAAATCTACACTTATGCTGAACTGGCCAACATTTAAGCCATGGATGACCTTGTTATTTCCAAATTAGGCTGTTCACTTTTACATATAATGAAAGAAAAACTATGGCGTCCATTGCTAAAAAAAAATTGTTGTAAGAATGTCTCAACATTTACACAGCCGTAACAAATAATTTATAAAAATATATTTCACTGGAGTACCTCAGTCAGGAAAATACTGCATCATGGCAACTAGATGGACCCGACAGTCTTAAGAAATAAACATGTTAGACACATTGAGGGATTATTTGTGACTTTTTTTTTTTTTAATTCTAGCTATTTTTTTTATATAAATGGACCCTCATGTGTTTTATTTCAATAAAGAAAATCAATAAGTCTGTACAGGATTCCTGCACAAATTATGTACTGCCATGTGCCATTACTGAAGCTACAACTTAATTGAGAAGATAGGATAATTAAAAATAAGGGGCATTTTGCTATACCAAACATAGATTTCAATTTTAAAACATATAGTTATTCCATGTAGACTTTTGTTTTTAGGCCTGGTGACCCTTTGCATGTAGTGTCCAATGTAATCCATGCCTCCATTCTTTACATATCGTCTTTTTTTTTTTTTTTCTTCTTTTGCTTTCTATAAGGATAAACAAGCTGGGTTCTGGAAACGATTTTTGAAGTATTTTCAGCGCGGCTTGGCATTGCTTCAGGAAGAACTCGGTATACTAAAAATAGGGTTAGTATTTTGTACCCGAGCACCTGGTAAGTAGGCGGGAATGGTTTCGTATGTATCAACGGCACTGACTCATCCTACTCTTCCATCGAGTGACAGGCTAAATAGCTGTTACCCAATTTCAACAGCACGCTGAAGACTTAAATGCTGTAATTGTCTGTATCACGACGCTGACAGTGAAAAAAAAATTACAAAATAAATTCCAAGAACAAATAAATAATAACTTCATGCCTGGTCATCCGTTTGAGTCCATGTCAAAGTAGCTGAGAACCAAAAAAATACATTGTAATTATATATATGATTTTTGCTTATCTACTTTATGGCTGTACACCATGATAAAATACTCTCACTTCTGACTGGACCTACTGTATATATAAGTCAATGGGTCAATTCACAAAGAGTTAAATAACAAAAAAAGCGATAAAATAATACATGCGGTAAATTTTTTGCAATTGTGCAATTCACTAAGAATGTTGCGGTAAATAACTCATGCGGTAAAATATCTGCATTGTGGTAATTACCGCAAATTTTGTTGTTACGGAAGCCAGCCGCAGTGTCCTTAACAACGGATAACTCATCAACTGCCAGCGGGTTTTTTTTTTTTTCATTTTTTTTTTTAATAATAAAAAGGTCTACAATGGCTACATCTTATATGCAGCATCCAATTATACTCAAAGTGGAACGTCACCCTCTCAGTCAGCACTGTTTTAAATCCTTATGTTTCTAGCATTAGTAAATAGATAAAGTATATCATATTTACTTTTTAAACTTTTTTTATTTTACATTTCTTCAGTTTCCTTCCTGTTTTCCATGCCTAGGCAAATGATGTCATTCATCCCAGGAGTTTTCAGGAGTGGTTTTCTCTGCTAAGCACACCCTCCTGCCTGCATGCATAATCTATGGGCAGATGCATTCAGGAAGTAAATGCTACACAAATCGTCTGCCCTTACTAAAGATGGCTATTACCAGAAATGCTAAGAGGTGTTTTTCAACACGATTTCACAGCAAAATAAAGCATGGAGACATGGATGGGTGGGTTTTCTATGAATATTTACTGAGAGTTAACCCCCAGATCTCTCAGTAAAACGTACCTGTCACTGACTATAGCTGTTGTTATTTATATTCTTCGTGATAAAATAAAAGTGATTTAAAAAAAAAAGGGACAGTGTAAAAAAAAAAAAATAAATAAATAAAAAATAAAAAAAGCTAAAGTGCCCCCATGCTTGCGCACAAACGTGAATGCACGCATCGGTCCCGAGTGCATTTGTTGAGATTTTACTGCAAACATCAGATCGTGGGCAGTAACTTTAGCACCAGACCTCTTGTGCAAATCTAAAGTGATGACCTGTAAAGCTTTTAAAGCGTTGCCTATGGATAATAAATTGTACACATTTGTCGACACTGCACGGGCGTGTGCAATTTTAAAGCGTGACATGTTTGGTATCTATGCACTTGGCATAACAACATCATCTTTTATAATTAACCAATTATTAAACCAATTAACCAGTTTGAAAAATCACTGCGGAAATACCGTCTGACATAAAAAAATATGCAACGCCCACTATTTTATTCACCAGGGCCTCTGATTTAAAAAAATCTATAATAGTTAGGGGTTCTAAGTAATTTTCTAGCAAAAAATAAAGATTTTTACATGTAAACAAAGTGTCAGAAAAGGCTTGGTCTTCAAGTGGATACAAGTATTTGGCATCATGCATTGCAAATTTTAATTTCAGTCATAGGCAGTAGTCCGTGGATCAGTAGTATGATGTGGGTATTTTCTGCACAGAAATATACACTATATCGCCAAAAGTATCGGGACACCCAGCAAATCATTGGATTTGGGTGTTCCAATCACCTCCATGTCCAGAAGTGTATAAAATCAAGCATCTAGACATACAGACTGCTTCTACAAACATTTGTGAAAGAATGGGTCACTCTCAGAAGCTCAGTAAATTAAAGCGTTGGTACTGTGATAGGTTGCCACCTGTGCATAAGTCCATCTGTGACTTTTCCTTGCTACTAAATATTCCACTGTCAAAAGTGATATTATAACAAAATGGAAGCAACTGGGAACAAAAGCAACTTAACCACCAAGTGGTAGGCCACGTAATGTGACAGAGCAGGGTCAGCGCATGCTAAAGTGCACAGTCCGAAGATGTCGCCAACTTTCTGCAGATTTAATAGCTAAAGACCTCCAAACTTTGTGTGGCCTTCAGATTAGCACAACAGTGCGTAGAGAGCTTCATAAAATGGGTTTCCATGGCCAAGCAGCTGCATCCAAGCCATACATCACCAAGTGTAATGCAAAGCGTCTGATGCAGTGGTGTAAAGCACGCTGCCACTGGTCTCTAGGGCAGTGGAGATGTGTTCTCTGGAGTGACCAATCATGCTTGTCTGTCTGGCAATCCAATGGATATGTCTGGGTTTGGCAGTTGCCAGGAGAACGTTACTTGCCTGACTGCATTGTGCCAAGTGTAAAGTTTAGTGGAGGGGGGATTATGGTGTGGGGTTGTTTTTCAGGGGTTGGGCTTGGCCCCTTAGTTCCAGTGAAGGGAACTCTTAAGGCGTCGGCATACCAAAACATTTTGGACAACTTTATGCTCCCAACTGTGTGGGAACAGTTTGGGGATGACCCCTTCCTGTTCCAACATGACTGCACATAATTGCACAAAGTAAGGTCCATAAAGGCATGGATGAGTGAGTTTGGGGTGGAGGAACTTGACTGGCCTGCACAGAGTCCTAAGCTCAACCTAATAGAACACCTGTGGGATGAATTGGAGATTGCGAGCCAGGCCTTCTCATCCAACATCAGTGCCTGACCTCACAAATGAGAAGAATAGTCAAACATTCCCATAGACACACTCCTAAGCCTTGTGGATAACCTTCACAGAAGAGTTGAAGCTTTTATAGCTGCAAAGGGTGGGCCAAATCAATATTGAATCTTACGGACGAAGACTGGGATGCCATTAAAGTTCATGCACATGTAAAGGCAGGCGTCCCAATACTTTTGGCAATATAGTGTATGTTGGGTGGACAAGAGGTAGAACAACAATATCAGCTAGTGGAGTCTGTCCAACCTGTTGACTAATTTTTCTGATTTCAAGCCCCCAGAAACCTTGTTTTATATATAAGAATAGGAGAAGGGGGGGGGGGGGGGTGATATACCAGGGGTATAACTGGAGGGGGGGGGGGGGGGGGGGGAGTCAAATATGGAGTGGTTGATAAAGTGGGAGGGGGACCCCCAGCAGGCGGTGAGTGGGGTTTTGGGTGCTGTGGGGTTTTGTATACTGTCTCACCCACTCTTTTGTAAGGTATGGTTTGTAGGTGCTATGAAAATCCGGTATAATAATAATAATCTGTTTATAGGTTTCATCTGCGTATTTAAAGCTGAACTCCAGGCAATTTTTTTTCCCATGCAGTGGGGCTGCATCCGCACTGCATGGGTTAACTGCATGTTTTGTCTAGAAGTGATCAGAAAGCTGTATACTTACCCGATCCTGCACTCCAGCAGCAAAGGGCGCTCCCCCATGACCCAGCGGTGGACTGTTTCTGACATCTTCACAACCAGAGCAGGACTATGGGCGTGACGACATCAGGAACAGTCCACCGCACAAGACCGCTAGACTACAGGGGCGCAGGAGCCCGAGGGACCAGTCTTGCACTGGGTGGATCAGAGGATTGATAAGTATATCTCTGCTCTCCATTCCCCTAGATGAAAACAAGCAGTTAACCGTGCAGTGTGGGCACAGTCCCACTGTGGGCAAAAAACTTGAGTTCAGCTTTAACTGTTTGCTTGTTCAGTTTAGCTTAAAGGGCTCGTCCTCCCCCCAACTGTTCCCCCTTTAGCTGCAGAGGCAGCAGCCGGGGGTGTACACATGCCGTGGCTGCTGTGCTTCATGGCCAAAGCAGGAATTCAAGTGAATGGGGCCGCCCTGCAAGTGCCCTGCAACTGCGTGCAATGCATGCTGTGCCGTGTACTAGTGCAGGATTCAAGGGATTAAAGCAGGTAGTAAGGAGTCAACACAACGCCTCCTCACCACCTGTCAAATTCTCTTAGAAGAATGATATGAATGTGAATCACACTTCAGAGGCCAAAGCAAATGTGAACAAGGCTCAAGAGCTTGGCCCTACCACCTCCTGCTACTTACTTTTGGCCTAGGTCTATGATGAATGGTCTTAATGACTAATATGGAGCCATGGGAGAGGAGAGCTGAGTTCTCAGCCATACGAAAAATCTATGTCCGATTATCCATAATAACTAGCAAAGTCTGAAAAGGTCAGCAGAACCAAAACCTACAGGGGGCAAGAATTCAATGTAGCTTAAAAAATTGTTTCTTTTTTTTTTCCAGAAAGAGGGAAGATACAGTGGTTTTCCAGTGTATCACAGTGTGTATGAAACGGCTGAGATGGTTGACACATTTTATGACCCATCCTATAAAAACCACTTGGCAGTGGCTAAAGTACGAGGAGGACTTGTGTTTGAGCTGGCCGACTCTGTTGTTCTGCCGTTTGATGTTCAAGACTATGCCGATGCTATTAAGAGCTATGCTGTCATTATATTTAACATGGCAAAGAAAAACCCAATCCAAATGGAAACTTATAATGTGTCGTTTGGTAAGTTCTGAAGATTGTCTAAGCTGACCTGTCTTCTTTTTTTTTTTTTTTTTTGAGCAGCTCCACAGGAACATGGTCTGCAGAGGTTGCTCTGTACTATCTGCCCCCCCCCCCCCCCCCCAATATATCCAGAAACCCTTTCCAATAACCTAATGTCCCTGGGGATATCTAGTTGGGGAATATGTTTACAGGATCAGCCTATGCAAGCATTCACATTTTTGGAGTAACTCTTATGCATATTTATCCCCATTTCCAACCCCCAACCTGGAGGACCAGGATATTGTGGTTAGGCTGTGTTTTGCAGAGCTCCAAGGTTCATCAGACACACAATCCTTTGGTTTGGAGGTTTGTGTGCACATGGATCAGGGCTGGGACAAGGGAATTGGGCAGGAGGGGCGACTGCCCCAGTACAGCAGTTTATTGTGGATGGGGGTGGAGGTCCCTTGAATTCCTATTACTATAGGCTGACAGGAGTAGTAACAGCATTACCACTACTCCTATCAGCTAAGTCTTGGAAACAGCCTTGAGAGGAGGAGAGAGCCAGGAGGAGGTGTTCCCTCTCCCCTTCCAACTCGTTTCACCTGCCAGTGCAGCTCTCCTGTATTCCTGTAAACATAGCTGCCAGCTTGTAAATACAGGAGCACTGTCAGATCAGGCCTAGGGGTGTTTGCTTATGCACCCTCTACTTGCTGCTGTCAGAATACACTGATGAGCGACTGCAGCTAATTGGCTGCAGTCACTGATTAAGAAAAAAATCTGAAATATTTCCCTTTGATAGAAGTCGATCAAATGATTGACTTCTGCTTAGTTGGAAAGGCCACACACTAATCAAAATTCATCCAGTCCATGCTTAAACCAACCAAAAATTATGGCTAGTTTATCATGTTTCCTGTCCTAGGGTGACAATGTACACTTAAGCCAGCCATAGATAGATTGAATCTTGGCTGGTTCAGCAGGAACTGGCTGAGATTCTATCTATCTATCTATCTATCTATGGGCAAGCTTGCTGTATTGAAGTTGATCAATTAATTAGTACAACCAGCCTGTCGGATTTTTTTGCATGTGCTCACTACCAGCGGCTATAACCTCTAGCAGTGATCATAGTGTTCTATTAGCAGGGAAAGATCCATGCCGGCCGAACATAATAGCATTGCGGGAGAGATTCTTCTATCAACACTGACTGTGTTGATGGGGGAATCAAGTGATATTCTTTCCTGAAACCCGTGGTTGCAGGATAGAAAATGGCATCATCTATGGCTTGCCTTATTCAGCCATTAGGACTGACAATTTATTGTTCTTGGCATCTTGTTTAGTTCTTTTGCATATTAGAAGCCTTCTCGCCTATGACATAATTATGTCTCTCACTGTCCGCACCATTAAAACTGTTCAAAAGAAACATTCCTCTGAAGTCTGCTGAGAAACTAGTACTTCTGGAGTGTCAATCTCCTGATCTTCCAATGCGCTCAAAGAGTTGGTATCATGTCATGAGCCAAGATGTAAGGAGACCAAGAGCATGGGGTTAAAGATGTTCATTTCGACCAAGCATAGCAACAAACAAGACCCCATAAACAAATGCCTACCCACCCCCCTTTCCTTTAACAATCAACATTTTCTATGGGACATTATACTTAAAAATACTCCCACAAATGCAGGCCATTGATTGCTAACCAGATTTGATCATTTGCGCACACAAAGTATTTTTTCTAACAATTTCATTTAAGTCCATGTTGCAAAAATAAATACACCCCAATGAAAGTCTTAGAGCAAAGCTAAATTTTAGATAACAAGATCCTAAATAACAAGAATTCAACTACGCGTGAATCTAATTATCCATTAAACAGGGTCCAGCAGACAGTTGATTATATAAGGGCGTTACTTAACAAAGAAAACCCCCATCTCATGTCATGCTGTTCGCAATAAAGAGAAATTTCACAAGGCCTGAGAAAGAAAATTATTTCTTTACACAAGAAAGGTGAAGGCTACAAGAAGATCAGCAAAGCTTTGCTTATCACTCAGAGTACTGTAGCAAAGGTGATACAAAATTAAACAAAGAAAGAACTGCAACCATCTCATCGAGACATCCAGGCCGTCCACGAAAGTTAACACCTCAGCAGAAGCGTCTTCTGATGAGAAGGGTTGAAGAAAATCGCCATGCAAGTTGCAGTTAGCTAAAGAAGTAGAAAGCAAAACTGGGGTGATTGTTTCCCATGACACAAAGCAGCGTACACTGCAGAGGAATGGTATGCATGTGGGTTGTCCATGAAGGAAGCCTCTCCTAAAGCCCATGCACAAAAAAGTCCACCTAGAATTTGCCAAGGCCCATGCTGAAAAAGACTACTGGGACTCTGTACTCTGGAGTGATGAGACCAAGATAAATGTTTATGCAACTGATGGCTTCAAAACTGTATGGCGTTGCAAAGGTGAGGAGTACAAAGAAAAATGCATGGTGCCTACAGTGAAACATGGTGGTGGCAGTGTCCTTCTGTGGGGTTGCATGAGTGCTACTGGTGTCGGGGAGCTGCATTTCATTGCTGGTATCATGAATCCACAGATGTACTGCTCTATATGTAAAGAGAAGATGCTACCATCACTCCGTGCCCATGGTTGTCATGCACTTTTCCAATATGACAGTGATCCAATACGTACATCTAAGGCCACTGTTCTATTTCTGAAGAAGAACAGGGTGAAAGTGATTCAGTGGCCATGTATGTCTCTTGTTCTGAACCCAATCAAACACCTATGGGGAAATCTGATGAGACAAGTTGAGCATCATTCTCCATCCAGCATCCAGGTTCTGAAAGAGGTCATTCTTGAAGAATGGAAAAAGATAGATGTTGCAATATGTCGCCAACTTGTTCATTCCATGCCTAGAAGACTTGGTGCTGTCCTTCCAAATCATGGAGGTCATACAAAATACTAGCTGTAGTAGTTTTTGTTGTCTGGTGTATTTATTTTTGCATCAACTAATTTGAGTAAAACTGAAGATTTTGTAATCTAATTTATATTATTAGCCTTACTTTCACTTAATGAGCTAAACAAATGTTCTATAAAACGCAGTTTTGTCAAAATTTTGGAAATTGTTCAGTGAGATATTGATTAAAATCTTACTTTTCAAAAAGGGTGTACTCATTTATGCTGAGCACTGTAAGTAATAGTTCTAAGGAGGTATAAATCAGCCTAAAAATGGCCAATAATTAAAAGTAAACAAGGGAGTCTCCGCAACATACAATCTCCCATATGCAGTAAAGCTTTTGTAATCAAAAGTCTCCCATGTATGAAGTCAAATAAGGCTGTATACCAATAGATAAGACGATATTCAATTGTGGTCTACCTTGAATGGATCAAAAGTAAACTTCCTCATCTGGCAACATCCATAACAGGGGTCCTAAAAGGCCCACCATTTATATCCCCAATCCGGTGCGTGCGAGAACACTGGCTGCCGCCGGTGTCTGACGTCCCCAGACCAGATCCCCCAAACTGTGCATGCATCGACATTCGCGCGTGCGCTATAGCCACCATCGTAGCCATCTTGGAATTGCGAGTAGGCTCAGGAGGCGGCAGTGTCCAGCCTCCTGAGCCAAAGTAGGAGAAATACCTCCTCTGTATGAGGGTAATGTGACCGCCTCAGGGAAACACAAGTTGCCAACCAGTGGCCAGATAGCTATGCGTCCTCAGAGGCAGTAATATACATTATGGTCAATCACATCAATTTATAAACAAATATACAAAGTAATGCAGAAAGAAAAAAGGGGCAAAAAAGTAATCTAATCCAAATCCTCAATATGAATAAATAAACAAAACAGCAATGGACAATAAGCAAAGTTAATGATGTTAGCCACTTGGACGACATAGCATTTCAAAGAAAGTGTTTGGAAATTAGTACTTCATTGAGACCAGGTTTTTCCTATTAAAGATCCTCTCCCAGAATTAAAAACTCATGGGAAAAAATACTTATTAAATGTAGTATGGAAATATTGACTTCACTCATCTCCCAATATACTCTTGATATGACCAACTGGGATAGTGAAATTGATTGTCTTAAATTTACAATACAAATATTTAATGGAGCCGCCTATGTTTGCCTCCAAGTGGAAGGAGATTAAGGAGCGCTTGGAGGCACTCAATAGGGACTTGAGAAACAAACTAAATTTTTGAACGACCAACTTGCATACTCTGAAGGATACTGTATGCCTCAGGAAAAAATCGCTCTAAGAAACCACCACGGGAAAGGCTATCGGCAGGGCAACCGGTAAAATACTGATATGACTGACTCTGACTCGTCTATATCTTCCTCTCCTGCACAGCAGACATGGTTGGGACTTCATCCTGAAGAAGCGGAAGTCAACATTATTCCCCGGACTAACTCTGCCAAATATGTAGAGGAGTCAACATTATTACCCCATGTGGGGTGGAGTTGTAATAATTCTGACCTGAAACATTTTCTGTGTACCAATAAAACATACTGTTTTTATAATTCTGTTGTTTTTTGGGTGCTGAGATAGTCCATTCATCTTTTGGGGGTTTTTTTCTGGGTAATTGAGCTGTTTTTCCCTTTTGCATCTTAACGTTTTATTTACTGTTTCCTCAGATCCACTGTTTTCTGCTGTTGAAAACTTCACAAGAACAGCAACACAGTTTAACGAAAGATTAAAAAACCTGGATGAGACCAAGTTTGAGTAATCAAACAGAGGGTTTATAAACAATGAGGACTGTAATGTGTGTTGTAAATGAGCAAATATATATATATAAGCTGAGCAAATACAGCTAACAATTGTGTTTTTGTCATGATAGCCCAATTGCAGTGAGATCAGTGAATGATCAGCTTATGTTCCTGGAGCGAGCCTTTATTGATCCTCTGGGATTGCCTGGACGTAGATTCTACAGGTAAGAACCTTCAAACCTTTATTTTTATCAAATACGTAAAAGCATTCCCTGTGCTGGCCCAGCTACTCTGTCACTCCCCCCCCCCCACACCACCACCTTCCTGCATTGCCTTTTATGTAGTTGTGGGGGAGTGAAGTGGAATACTATAGAATGTTACTTGGGCAATAGTCTTGGCCCTTTAGAGACCCACACAAGGGAGGCTGCCTATAGGAAGATTGTTGTTGAAATGTATGGCCTGGCGACAGGGTTTCTTTAAATTTGAGTACATTCCAAAGTATCATCTATTTCCATAGTTTATTCTAGCCTGGTAGGTGTGCACCGTTCATGGCTTTTTTCCCCCCAACTCATCAGAACAGCTCAGACCTGAGGAGGAAGGAGTGTTGGAACACTTCACTTGGCTCTGTGCTACACAGGTTGGCAAGCGGGGGTGAGGACAGGAGCAGCCTGCTGAAGCATGATAAGAACAAGAAAAAAATGCAGGCATTTGCTGTTTTGGGATCGAGGCACCTACCAACGTATGCCTTGCCCTACCCTGCACATGCCCTGAGTGGCTGGCGATAGAAACACAGAAGCCGGTAGAGGAAGTGATTAGTGCAAAGACTTCCTCTACCAGGTTCTGAGATTTGTGACAGGTTGGAGAGGACAGGGCTAGCCTGAAGTGGCGGAACTCTGTTCCACCACGCTGCGGCTGAAAAAAAGGCCTGTATATACACTCATTGACCACTTTATTAGGTACACCTGTTCAATTGCTTGGTAACACAAATTGTTAATCAGCCAGTCACATGGCAGCAACTCCATGCATTTAGGCCTCTAGACGTGGTAAAGACAGATGGAGCATCAGAATGGGGAAGAAAGGGAATTTAAGTGACTTTGAACATGGCATGGTGGTTGGTGCCAGACGGGCTGGTCTGAGTATTTAAAAAACTGCTGATCTACTGGGATTTTTATGCACAACCATCTCTAGGGTTTACAGAGAATGGTCCGAAAAAGAGAAAATGTCCAGTGAGCATCAGTTGTATGGATGAAAATGCCCTATTGATGTCAAAGGTCAGAGGAGAATGGGCAGACTGGTTGGAGATGGTAGAAGGGCATCAGTATCTCACGTCAATATGGACCAAAATCTGAGGAACATTTCCAACACCTTGTTGAATCTATGCCATGAAGAATTAAGGCAGTTCTGACGGCAAAAGGGGGTCCAACCCAGTACTAGCAAGGTGTACATAATAAAGTGTCTGGTGTGTGTGTATATATGTACTGTTTATAAGTGTGTGTGTGTGTGTGTGTGTGTATATATATATATATATATATATATATATATATAAAATATATATATATATATATATATATATATATATATATATATGTGTATATATATATACTCTATATTTATGGAAGTTAGTAATACACTGTGTGTAGTAAACTGAATATTATGTGGTTAAGGTTTGCATCTACTCCCTTAATACTGTAACTCCCTCAGTGTATGACTTGTAAACCTTGTGATTTGTTTGCTTCTTTCCCCCAGACACATCATCTTTGCTCCAAGCAGCCATAATAAGTATGCAGGTGAATCTTTCCCCGGAATATACGATGCACTGTTTGATATTGGAAGCAAGGAAGACCAAGCCTCTGCATGGGATGAAGTAAAAAAACAAATTTCAGTGGCTGCATTTACTGTCCAGGCGGCAGCACAGACACTCGAAGAGACACCATGAATGTATCGCACCCCCAACTATTGTCACAAGTCACACGATTATGAATTTGAACACTTCACTAACTGTATGCTAAGTGTGCCTAATATATTCATTATTAAAGCCATAAACTTTAAATTTAAAAAAAAAATGAAATCCTTTTTGCACAATGGGTTTATCATTATTAATTACATTTTGAATTATTTGTCATATATTTTTTCTTACACTTTATAGATGAAAATGTTTTGAATGGTTTCCTCAGAGATTCTTCAAGACTTCTCCAAAAATGTCATATCTTCCCCATATGCTGATTTACACAGTCAAATTATGGTTAGATTTATTCTGGTAAATCTGCTAATTTACCAAAACCCACAAAGGGTGGTAGGCTAGCCTGTGAGTGGGGTCTTCTGCACCCATGTATGTGGGGGGGCCTGCCCAGTTGCTTCCTGCAGGAAGCGGAGCTGGTGGGCTCACCTCTCTGGCAGCATTGGTAGGGCAAGCAGGAGATGAGGAAACCGGAGGAGTCGGCATACCGTTCGAGCTGAAGTGTTAAGGCTCCTCCATCCCTTCCATCAGGTGGTATAGCAATGAGCCACAGCTGGTGCAATTTCGTAAACTAGGCCTGTATTCAACATGACAATAGACTCTTGCCACGGATACATGGTAATGCTGAGGCGTAGCAAACCACACGGAGATCTGGACAGCTTCCATGTTTCAGTAGTTATATACATCCCTTATCGGGATTCCAGCCAATCTGAGGACAGTGCCTGACAGGAGCCAATCCAAAGCACATCACATTAATCCAAATCCAAGTATTTAGGCAAATTCTAAAACTAACTAAGCAGTCATGGTCCCTTTAGGGGTTGTCCTCAGGTGCATGTGGTGGGAGTATCTTGCCAATTATGCAAGTTTTTGGGTCTTCTGCGCCTGTGCACGTGAGGTAACACTTGCATGGAATGTGCTTATCAATGCCTGGGATCAGGAGGGGACTGCGGTCATGTGAACAATCAAACTTGAAGGCCGCTTCCTAATTTAAAGATTTGTATGTTTGCATTACGAGGGACGTGCTGAGCTTGCCCCTACTCCACTAGTCTAGTGTACCTCTATTACTTCACTCCCAGTAACAGAATGGGGCCCCACCAAGCACATGGCATGGACCTCATGCATGTTGTCACTTAACTCTTTACTTCCCGTACCACGTGACCAGGCCATATATATCCGTAATGCTAGTCTGCTTCTAGTTGCCATGGGAGATGGACCACTAGGATGGGACTAGGAAGAACACTGACCCCATCGATAATGGAGGACCTGTCACCTTACCAGGTCCCATGCTTATCGACTGGTTGCTGTAGCTTGTTCCTTACCTGTAGCAACTACACTTCTCTGCCTTGTCCTTGCCGAGTTAACCCTCTGTAGTAGTGTTACTTCCCACATACCCCATAGTGCAATTACAGGCCCAGGATCTTTGGAATATGCCAGAACCATCATGCACCCCCTGACATTTAACCTCCAAATACGGAAAGGCTTCTTCATGGTAACAGCTGAGAAAATGTGGAACAGACTCCCTCAAGAGCTGGTTCTGGACAGCTTGGTAGATTGTTTTAATAAAGGCCTGGATTCTTTCCTAAATGTACATAATATAACTGGATACTAATATTTATAGATAAAGTTGATCAAGGAAATATTAGATTGTCCCTTAGGGGATCAGAAAGGATTTTTTTTCTTTTTTCCCCGCTAGAGCAAATGGGATCATGCTTTATTGGGGTTTTTTTTGCCTTCCTCTGGATCAACTGTGGATATAGGAGACTGTAGGGAGGTTTTCTATTCATGTGTGTTTTGTAGTTTTTTTGTTTTTGTTTTTTTTTCTTCTGTTGGTTGAACTGGATGAACTTGTATCTTTTTTTTTTTGCACCAGATTAACCATGTAACTGTATGACTATGAATACCTTCAGGCTTAGATTGGTAAACTTTACTGATGAAATGCAGCATGATAATACAGCAAGAACAATGTCCTTTCCCTAATCCTAACATGATGTAGTGGCCTAGGAATACGTCCATGAGGCAAGAATCCATATGTGCATTGTCCATGACTTGGATGCTATTCGTGGTTCTTGGTGTCCTCTTCCTTGCGGGAGTCTACTGCAAACCCTGTTGAGCGTTTGCCACTTACAGTAGGTATTCCACAGGACTAGCTATAATAAAGTCTGTGCTTTCAGCAAACAGGAGACTTAACAGCGTTAGCCTGGGCTCACATTGGATCCGACTTTGACATTGTGCGACTTCACTTGAAGTCGCACAATTACAAAGTTGAATGTCAGTGCATATATAATATAAATATAATTATTTAAATATATTGAATATGGCCAAAATTGTAGAATTTCAAATATATGTTAATATATTTGGGAAAAATATTTAGAAAATATATTTTCAAATATATTTTTCTTCCATGTGGGAATCCTCTCTATGTCTCCCAGCATGCCATCAGAGCCTGCCTCTCTGGGATAGGCCTGGGCTGTATTAACCACTTCCCGACCGGCCGTTGTATATAAACGGCCAGACGGTGGCAGTGCAGGGTCGGATGGCGGTTTATAAACGGCCTCCTCGCACCCTGCTTGTGCGCGCTCCCTCGGAGTGGGCAGCACCGCGATCCGGTGCCCGCTGTGTCCTCCGGACACAGTGAAACACCGATCGTCGGACGGGACCTCTGTTTGAGGTCCCGATCATGTGATCACTGATTGGCCAATCAGTGATCACATGCAAAGTAGTAAGCAAGATGTCACTTGTGACATCATTGCTTACTACGTGTGAAATTTGTGAATGATTACAGAGGTCACATGGTACAAGGCTATTCACCAGAGCCTTGTACCATGTGACAAGCTGTGACCAATCACAGCTCACTCAGTAATTCTCAATGGCTGCAAGAATGCAGACAGAGAGAAAGAGAAATTATTGCTTTTACATCCTTTATGGGTGTAAAAGCAATCAGTGTAAAAAAAAAAAAAAAAAAAAAAATATTCATCACCCCCCACAAGTAGTACAGTGTCACCATGGTGACACTGTACTGCTAGGGTGACAGTATGTAAAAAAAAAAAAAAAATAATATAAAAAAATAAAATAAAAATGTAAAAAATAAACATTTAAAAATTATAATGTTTGGTTATAAACTAATTTGGATTTTTTTTTTACTAAAAAGATAACGGAATAAATTGTGGCAAAGATTTATGATGAAATATTATTTATTTGCAAAATTTTATAAAAAAAACACTTTTTTTCAAAATTTTTGGACATTTTCATTTACATAGCAAAAAAAATAAAAAATCCCAGTAGGGAATAAATACCACCAAAATAAAGCTTTATCTGTCTCAAAAAAATGGTAAAAAATTAATTTGGGTACAGTGTTGCATGACCGCGCAATTGTCATTCAAAGTGTGATAGCGCTGTAAGCTGAAAATTGCCCTGGTCAGGAAGGGGGTAAAAGTGTCCAGACTGGAAGTGGTTAATATTCATGCTGCCATCTGCATATCTCCACACCTATCATCCAGAAACTTAACAAGCTCTTTGAATGCAGAGGGAGCCTTCAGACTGGCAGCAGCTGAACACACTGAGGAGACCTAACTAGCAGAACACAGCAACACTGATTACAGAGAGCGAATTATACTTTTACCTAACAATCACAGCCACACTGACTACAGTGAGGTAATTAAATTTAAATATCAAAACACACACTAGCTCTATCTAAACCTAGCACCTATCTAGGAGGGTGCTACACATAGCTATTGCCACATCTTAAAGTAGAATTGAAGGCAAAACGTTTTCCCCATTTTTGAGTAAGGAGAATATACGTTTTGTCAATTTTATTTTGCCATCTGATGCTGGAATATTTTCTACTCCCACTGGCCACAATCCAGCTCCCCTAAAGTTCAAAGGACAGTAAACCGGTCCTGTGTGTTTAAAAAGTTTGGAGACCCCTACTCTAACACGTAGGTCACCACCTGTCTGGTATTTTATGGGCTTTGCCAGTAAAAATTGGAATTATTGCCAATGTTATTAACAGAAAAGGGATTGTGAGGCCATTTGTTTCCCAGAAAAGGTTATGACCAGGGCCACTAGGCAAACTAGGCGGCCTACTAGGGTGCACTGCCACCTAGGGGCATATGGGCACAGCACAGGCTGGCACTCTCTGTGTGGGATGCCGCCACATCATGAATGATCCTACAGCTGAGGGGAGGAAGAAAGGACAGAGGAAGATGCCCAGTGCCTGGGGCCAGTGTAGCAGCAGAGCAGTGTTTCTTTCAGACTCAGTCCCTTACTACAAGCCAGCTGGTGGCTGATGATGATCACTGTGGAGTTCTGGCCCTTCTCTTCCCATTCATCAGCTGAGGTGGAGCTTGTCTGTGTGAGGGTGACCCGGCTGGGCCATCCATCACATGTGCAATATGTCGTTGAGTGATGACATCATCACGATCCCAAAACCTGCTCTTCTAGTGCCTGCTGATCTGTGTTGGTGGTGGTGTGTTGTGTAAGATCTGTCTGTGTGGGATTGCTCAGTTCAGGTGTTCTGTGTGTGTGTGTTGGGTTCCCCCCCCCATTGCCTAGAGAACTCCAGCCTGGGATCCATCATCCTCCACTAACTGCAACTGTCACCCTGCTACTGCCAGCCTCAGATACAGTCCGTCCGTGACACTGGTATTGGTGGCATCCTATGGCACTTATTTTTGCAAATTAAAAGAAATTTAGCAGTTTCATGTTTTGTTGATTTAATATTTTCTACTGTTTTTATTTATTTATTTTTTTATTGGGAGGGAAGGGGGGAGTCAGGAAGTGGAAGTGACGAAATGTGTCAGGGATTGGTTGAGCGGCGACCGAAAGTGACGATTATGGGAACCGGAGGTGACAAGATTGTCTGAGAGCGAGGACCGGCAGTGGTGAGAGCATTGTGCAGTCTTTCCTCTCTGATTAACTGAGATACTTACATCTTTGGGCTTGAATTTATCATACTTCTTGTAAGTAGTATTCTCAGGTGG